AGAAGGGGTGAACGGGTTTATGTTCCTGTGTGTTTACTTTGGACTTCAGGGGCCACATAGAGAGTGGAACTTTTTATGCAACGCAGCTGGCAGAAGAAAATCTCTGATTCGAGGGTGTTCGGATCAACAGAAATTCAGAAGGAAACAATTTCAGAATTACTGGTAAATTATGCTGCTTGGAAAGGGGGTGTTGTAGGGGCATTATGGCCACGCTGATCAGCTATCGCTCCTCAGAATGACAGTCAGGTTTTACAACTAGTCTTGAATTGCTGGCCCAACCTGCTCTGACCAAGTGCCCTAAGGAAAACACTGTGCCAGTAAAGCCCATGCCCAATTCCACACAGTGATTCCAGGTTGGATGGACAGAGAGGCACTCCTGTTTCATGAGCTATTCTACAAATACTCAGAGGACACAGCATGGACAATGTTGATTTGAGCATTTCAGTAGCTGAAAGAGATTTAAATCAAAAACAAGGGAATTAATACATAGTACATGCCAGCTTGAACACCCTGATTTGGATGTGTTATATGTAGAAATCTGGGTGAAAATATTTTATTTTCTGAAAAAAAAAAAAAAAACCCAAGCAACAAACCAGTTTAATTATCCCTTTTAAAGCCTGACAAAATGTGGGCTTTTTGCTTAAGCAAATAACAAAAAACTAGTTACTCGTGCAAACTGAAGACAGAAGGGGCTTTGCTAACTGGGAGACTTGCCAAGGCACAGGAGATTTGGGTTTAAGTCTATCCTCTTCCTCAAAGATTTCAAATCACTCCTTGGAGCACACCCTTATCTTTCCTATAAAGGTGTAGCCCTGAGGTGGTTTGCTCTCAAAAGCTCCTGGAGCTGTTGCATGGAATATCAGCCAAAGTTCCACTCCTTGTACAAATAAATCTTTTGCATTTGTATATCTTGACAGTGTAAAACAGGAATGATGCCTGTCTGTTCCACATGACCATGCTCAGGCCATTTTGTTGGCTGTGGCATTATTTTAGCAGGATCCAAATGCCAAATACAAGATTATTTAGGGTTTTTTGAGGGGATATTGCGTAAGCAAACAAATAAAAATGTCCCAGGACCACGACCTAAAGTAAAATATTTCAGTTTCACACACCACATTTCTTGGTACAAGGAAACATAGATTAGGATACACAAAAGTGCCTTGATGTTCAGAGTCATGAAGTATCAGCAGTGTTTTCCCAGTGACTCCCCAGTAGTATAATTGCAGAGATGTTCACCTTCTCCCCAGATATCCTTAGGGAAACATCATTCCCCTGACTATTTTAGAGCCAGTATATTTGAAAGACTTGTGTCTACAGAGATGGACAACTTCACACTGAAATTCAAAACCCACAAATGGGGCATATCAGGGATCATACAGTAACAAGGTCTTCCAAGCCTATGCCTCTTCTATCATCAACCACCTGACATCCCTCTGGATTCTTTCAGAATTATCTAATTCGCTGAAATATGCACCTAATTCAAAGCTGGTTCTCTTTATTAACATTAAAAGGCTTTGGATCATTCCCCTAAAAAAAAAAAAGTAAGTTTTTCTACAAGGCTATTGAGCATTTTCTCTCAGGTACACAACAGGGCTTCTGTGGCTCCTCTCCCTGCCTCACCTATCATTGGACACACGTTAGCAGATAACATGTCATTAAAGAGTCATAAATGTCAGTCAGAAACTCAGCCAGAAGAGCTGCAGGAAGGTCCCTTGCTCTGCCAAGGGGCAGTTCTGATAAAGGATCACCTGCCCAAGCAGGGCACTCCTGTGCCTCACCACTAACCATGCTCTTCCAAACACACAGATGTCTCGCCACAAATTACCGTGGCTGAAAGGGTTGGAGTTGCAGTGGAAGAGATGAGAAGAGGGGGAAAGGAGTTGTTGTTTTAAAGCCATTTAAAACCTCTTCTGCCCGCTTCTGCATCTGAAAATAACTCATGCCTGGAGGTTAGAGGATTGCTGTAACCCGAAGCATCTGTTTCCTGACTTTATCTCCATCCCTATCACCCAAAATCACGGTTTTAAGGGCCTCGGAGCAGTTATCATCAATCAATAATTTACAGCTGCAAAATACATGTTCTCACATGACACAGCTCTGGTCTTCACAGTAAATCAAGGCCCTACCTGTAAAAGGGTAAAAAATTTCCCTTACAACCAAATAAAAAGGCACACAGTGTGATACCAGACATGTACAACAGCCCTAGCAGGAAAAGTAAATGGCAATAACAATATCCACAGATGAAAACAGAGCCCTTGTAACATCACCTCCCAAATCCCTGTTCACTTAGAACTGTTTTTACCTCAGTGAGTGTTGTAAATCTTGGAATTAGTAAATAATTAAAATGAAATTAGTAAATCTGTAAGTTAGTCTAAGTTCCAAAGAAAACCAAGCAGTGCCCCTTTTTATATTTCAAACCTTGCATGGCTGAAGTCACGTCCTTGAAGAGCTGCAGATAAGACCTCCCTGCCCTTACACTGTGTAAATCCCTTCTATCATCAATACCAAGTACAAGAAAGTACTCAAAACTCTACAAAATAATTTTTCAAAGCATGCCTAACAAAAGTAAACCAGAAAGTTTGTAGGCTAAGTAATTTTGAAGATGCAAGAACTTAAAATTAGGAAGATTCTTGGAAAGAGTATTTTAGGTTTTTCTAACTGGTGGAAGTGAATGGAGGGAAAAAATATATTTCTTTGGAAAAAATCATCTGAGGAAAAAATAGCACGCAGAAGACATGGAGGATAATGTCATGATCAGGGCAAATGTGGGGCAGCATTAGAGCAGAATTTTGGCAGAAAAATGGCAGAGCTAAGTCTGGGTAAAATCTTCACAGACAGAAGAACCAGAGTAAAATACTTTAACTTCTAAAAATTATTTTAAAAGGGTGTCTTAACACATCTTTAAAATATGAGAGAGTGGAAAATGAACATTAGAGCAAATAATCATAAATTTCAATTGAAAGATGGACTGAGGGAAGCAGGATCCAGAGAGGTTTTATTCACCCCTCAATCTTAAAGAATGGCATAAGTAACAACAACAAACAGGAAATATCTTTGCTCAGGTGCTGAAAATCCTTCTCTCCTAGCTGAAGCATTTATCAGTTGATGATGTGCAGCACATGATAAAACTGGATACCCTAAAAATGGACCGTGTCTAATCTGTCACTAGAAAAAGACAGTAATTGCAATGATTCCTGTTCACTTATGAGGCAGTTTGTATTTCAGAAACAAAAGGTTTCACTCTTTTAATTGCAATAAAGAAACTCAAACCTACTTTAGAAAATGCTGATATTCACAGGACATAACAGCATGTGTTTACTGGCAATGTTGATGCTTTTAGGAAAATATACCATGCATTATTGCTGGGATAGCAATTTTGAACCTGTGAATGCATTATCTCTATTAGTTCACAAAATCCAGACTCCTCTTCCCAACTCCACTCTCCTTCTGAGGAAAAAAACCCTCGGAGGTTACACGAAGTTTGATTAGGTTAATTAGACAGAAAACATACTCTGAAAAGGGTAGTTGATAATGTTGTAGGGAAAGACGTTTAGACTCTCTGTGAGACCATTTCTGGTTCCTGAGCCCTACCGTGGGGATGGGGAGCCACCCTTTGGTCGTCACTGTAAGTGCAAAATCAATATAACACCACGAGGGCTGTCGGTTTCTGCGCTTCGAGGAGGGTTCTTCGTAACCACCTACAGATTCACTGGTCTTCCTGACAGATATTCCAAGGATTGCCTCTGGTTTAGCACGATTTACAGAATCCATCTCACCTGGCAGGGATGGTAGGGATGAGGAATGAGCTTGGGGGAGGCTTTGAGCGTTTTATGGGCTGCATGTTGTCACTATTGCTCCGTGCCTTCTGCTCTCTGTCACATTACTGATGCAGACCAATGTCCACAAATCAAACGCCTGTAGCACCATTTCTCTCTAAAATGAGGATTGAATGAAACAAATCATTTGCAGCTTTGTATGTTCCTCTTCCAAATGCCCAATATTAAATAAATGAAGAGGTTCCACCTGAATTACAAACTACTTTGCTTTCACCTCGTGGTGATTAGCAGAGTGATTAATAGAAAAGACCATCAAACTGCTACCACATGATTTCAGCAAAATGGGCTGGACATCCATGTAGAAAAGCAAAATCCCCAAAGAATGGAAAGCACAGACATGAAGCCCAAAGAAAGGTCAGCCGACAGGGCAGGAAAGGAAACCCATGGAAAGCAGCCAGGGAGATTAAAGTTAAGCCCCACACAACTCTTATTTCACATTGAAAGCCACAAACCACTCCCGGAAAGGAAGAAACTTTTATGCTCTCTCTTAGCCTTGATGGGAGCAACCTTCCTAAAATGCTGCTCTGTTTTATGAGAAGGGACTAAGTTCCCAGAGTTTTCCATTTACTCCTCCCTCAGGACTTTGGAAGCTGTTGTTCTTTCTTTCAGCTTGGGATCATCTTCTACCATAGGCAGCTTTTGCTGGTCAGTATGAAGGGGAATCAGTCCATGAGACAGAAAAGATAAATAGTGGATGTATAAGCACTGGATAACCCAGACATAAGCAGGAAAGCAGCGGTTTTGAATTTGGATACAGACTTGAGAACACCAAGACCAGGAAACTTAGATGAGCTACAGACTATTGGATGACCCAAAAAAAAAAAAAAACCAACCCAAAAAACCAACAAAAAGAGACTGGAAATTGCCATTAGTTCAAACTAAAGGTAACAGTTACAACATAGTACACCAGACAAACTGTGTTCCCACAAGATGAACATCATTCCTACTTACGTGTTACATTTGGAGATGAAGATGCAAGGAGGTGCACTGATGTCTCCAAGCCCACATGGTAAGTTAGAAGCAACATCAGAACAGCACAGGAATTTCCAGCTGATCAGACTGCAAGGCCTCTTGGTCTACTCCTTAATTTAAGGGCTTTTTTCCTCCCACCATCAGAGAAAGGAGAGTACACTGAATCACTGAACAACATTTCCACTGGCTAAAAGAGCAGGATTTTTTATTATTCTCTATTTATGTCTCTCAAACCGTTCTCCTTGCCCCAAAGGAGAGGCATGGGGCATATTTCACATAGGCCCAGCATGGCCCTATGTGAAATATATAATTTATAGAAAGAAAATGAACAGGGCATGAGACAGTCATTGCAGGGCTTGGCTTCTTTCCTGAGCTACAGGGCCACACACATTGCATACTTTCATGTAATGAATTTTTTTTTTAAAGTTCTATTTATTTCATCCTGTAGTAATGCAGTGTATTTAGATTACTACAGCAGTACTGTTGGATGTCTATGATTCTATGATCAGGAACATGTTCAGGTGCATTAAGTATCATCTGATCACGTGGAGAAGCAGCTGGAGCAGAAGCAGCAATCCCTGCAGTGTGTTCAGCACACGTCCAACGTGGTCAGCTCTTCCCATGGCGACCCAGATCTCTTTCCTCTCCTTGCTGTGAGGACACACATTCCATACCTGGGCAAGCACCTTCAGAAGACATTCATGCACTTCTCAGCTACAAAAAGAAAATGGGCCAGTCATGACTGACTGTAATTCTCTCAGGCAATAGGCAGGAAAAGGGTGAAGCTCCCAGAGGGTGACTTTGTGGGAGCTCTACTGCCTTTTTACCTCTCCCTTAATGGTAGCAATAAATGCTGCCAACTTCCATTAAAGGAGCATCCACTATCCAGCCAGCAACCTCGAGCCTCTCTAGGCCACTCCTTCCAGTCCCTGGCAAAGCATTTCATCACAAATAATTCCGAGGAAGTTCTTACTTCTTCATGGGACCCTGATAAAAATGTGGTAGCATAAACAATTTCAAACACTGTGCATCTGACAAAACACAGCTTGAGTAAAAAGGGGTATTTTAAAAGAAATAATTTCCATTGCTTTTGATTATACTTATCATTTACTTTATTGAATTGTTTCCACTTTTAAAATATATATTTCCACGTTTAAAATATAAACTTCTTGCTCATGCTCTGCACTGTCTATTAAGATGGAGAATAAAATTAGACTGATCGGTTTTGCCCTTGGAATTCTGGTATCAGCTACCAACACAATGTTTAAATTGCAATTCATACCTGGTGAATTTTAATCAGAACTAACCAGTAAAATTTTTAAATTGAAATCTTGAAACTGTTTCTGGAAGCGTTTCTCTCAATATCCAACTTTGCAACCTTTTTGAAGAACAGAATTGGGTATTTTACGCCTACATTGTGCAACCACATTGCGCTCTGAGAATGGAATTATTCAGGGGGCCATAACATTTCCTCAAAGAATGATTAAGGAACTGAAAAGAGAGCCCTGATGCTGTCACACTTCTCTCACGTTAGGCAAATACATCGAACAAATCAGGATGTTCTGTCCAAAGGCCGGAAAGCGTCCCAGTGACTCCCAGCTGTCCGTAAATATGTTGTACTTCAGGAAAGCACGGTGCTCCAAACCCGTGGACAGAGTAATGTTCCTGTTCAGTATGTAGACTCCGTCGTTGTGGAGAGTGCAAGTCAGGTTGAGGCCGGATTTGGACGAGTTCTCGTTGAGGTAGAGCCATTCTTTGGTAGCAGTGTTGTAAGACTGCACAGTCAGCACGTCCTCACTCTGGCTGGGTCTCTGGTTTGGTCCAAGTTCGAGGATGCAACCCCCCACCAGGTAAATAGTTTCTTCCACAGAGAGCATCTGCTGCTTGCGGACATGGACGTCGCACAGCTCAAAGTTGGTCCAGGAGTCAGAGGTGGGGCAGTACTGCAAAATGTTCATGTTCCTGTCTGGAACGGAGAGGAGACGTTTGCAAATAAACAGCTGTACCAGAGGGCAGTCATGGAGGGAGGTTATTCCTCCCTACGAACTGCATCAGCCTTTATTGCAGATAACAAATTACAGTGCAAAAGCACGGCAAAAACAGGGAAGAAATACTGATCACTGGGAACTGCAAGCTCTGTGTCCCTGACAAGGAAGTTTGAACGTTCTGTTCCCTTGCAGAAGGGAAAAATTATGCTACTTCTGGCACACTGCATGTTGTAAATTGTCTGGGGATGCACACTTCAGCAGAATAATCCCTACCTTTTAACTTACACTTTTTATTTTGCCTCTAATACGTAAAAAATTTTTAGGAAAAGGGAAATGGAGCAATATTCTCCTCTCCAGGATTATCATGAAGACAGTATGCTTCATTAATAGCTGTCAAGTGCTGATTTATCATCCAAGCTTAACTTCAGCTCTGCATTTCATTCCATAAATCGAAATTTATGGAATAAAATTCATAACACTGCTTACATTTCAGCAAGTGCCATGGGTGGCCTAAAGGCACCTTATAAAGAGAGAAAGACATTGTCAGAATCATCCAGGAGCCAAGCACTCCGTGCTCCAGCATCAGACAGAGGCTCAGAAAGAAGCTGAAGTCATCTCCACACTTCAGTTGCAGCTCAGTGTGTGCATGTGTTTGCTACAGGATTATTCTACAAAATTGCTACAGTACCACTCTGATTTACGGTCCAGTGAAGATGCTGGCTGTGCCCAAGGCTTCACTAAACCATCCCACAGTGCACAGGACTGATTCAGGTATTTATTCAGCGAATAAATTCAGTTCCAGACTCTGCAGACCTGAGCCTAAATCCAAACTCAAGTGACAAGCGGCAACAGGTTTGCAGGGTCCAGGCCGGTCTTGTAATAAAATCTGCTCCATGTTACCAGGCTATCCTGCATGAGGATTTCCAGAGGGGCTCCCAAGGGGAAGGAAGAGCAGACAGTGACATACTGGCAAGTTATGTGAGGGCACAGGCACAAATAGCCAGAAATGTAACTGGACTGCCATGAATGAAGTGCATCAGTGGCATTAGGGAGGTGCTGCTCCAGCATCTGCCTGCACTCTGATTATTTTCATAGCAATGTTCTGTGAAATTGCTGATCTAAGCTCTACATAGAGATGACCTTTGTCTACAAATGTATCATTCTCTGACTTAACTGGGAAATCCCAATTAAGTTTCTATGACTATCTATAGCAGTAAACTTCCCCTATAAAAGGTGCTATGATTTGAGAGGGGGTGTATGAAAGAGAAGTCCATTGCAACGTGGCCCTCATTTGCTCAGTCCACAGCCTGGGTCTTTTATATCCACTGAAATAATGAAAAAAAAAAACAAACCAAAGTAAACCCCACAATACAAAACATGAATTTGACAGTGCCTGACATGGAGTTTCTGTTAGGATCTAGGTCCACAAGTGAGAGCTGCAAACTGAAAGGAGGGACTTCATTCAACAAGTGTCATTATAATTTACGGTGGGAAATGCCAGATCCTCCCATATTTTGGAAAGGGCAGTCTCAGGAGAAAGCTCTACACAAATAATAAAAAAAAAAAATAGCCTACAAAACCTACCAAAACTGAGGTATATACAGAAATACCACAACATATTTAAAATTGTGTAACATATAAAAAATATTAATTGCTGCACATGTTTTATGTACTGAATATAGCAAACCAGCATACAAACCTCAGTGTCTCTCAGATAGTTAGGCTTTAACACTCTCTGACATCTGCATAATTTGGAAGGAGAATTACCAGTGTAACTCTGGCAGTTCTGGTTTCTAAGTCTGCTAGCTGTCCTAAGCCAAGGCATCACAGAAAAAACTGATTCTAGGCCCTTATTCAGCAAGTTATTGATAACAACCACAGGTGTTTGTTGTCCTGAAAGGCTCATGTTTAAATCCAGGACCAAAGTGTGCTACTTCTCCACTACTCACAACTGCATGTCGTTTTACTCTCCTGTTTCCATTGAAAAAGACTTTTAGGAGAAGACCTAGGGAAAAACAGAGGCCTGAAGGACAACAGCAATCCCCTGAGGTGGGGGAGAAGCAACAAGTCTGACCAAAGGACTGGCACTGCAGAACATAACCACAGCATGGCCCTCCATGTGGCCACAGGCACGTCCACAGATTCCATTTTCCTCAGCGAAGCCAAGAGATTCTCTGGGTCAGAACGGACTGGACAGGATGTGTTTGAAGGGTTTCATTACCACAAGGACCACGAGTAGCAGCAGTGTGTCTTTTAAAAGCTTTACAGTTGTTCAGAGCTAAAATCTTCTCAGAACACTAGAAGGGACAGCCTGTTCTGCCTGTAAAAGTTGATCTGCCTTCTCATTTTATTCTCCATTTGGAAGGAAAACCTTTAAAACCGCCGTGGTCAGATGAAGTGGGCAAAGGCCAAATTCAGAATTAGGAAATCCTAGTAAATACTTTTGACAAGCAAAAAAAGCTCTGAGAAAATGTATTCCTCCCAAAGAATGGCATTCTGTGCTTAAGGAATAAGCAAATGGGAGCTCTTTTTAAGTGGCTTGCTTTTCTACTTGATAAAGGAAAAGTAACTGTCAGGAGAGAATGAAACTTCAAATCCTTCCCTCTGTACTGTGTCCTCAGAAAACAGGGTACAGAAATGATAAAAGATAAAAACACTGGTTCTTGCTTAACCTTTTGATTATGATATTAAGTTATTAGGCTACATCTTGAATTTCCTTGTGAAACACTGAAATGTTGTAGTGAAAAGACCATGACATCTGTTAATACATGAGAAATACTAATGCAGGCAGATATTTTCTATGTATTTCTCCTTCTGTCAATCTAAACCAAGCATTTAGAAAGTAACCAAAGTACATCTGTTGAGGCCTCTCTTTGTACTATGTGATCAAACTCTAAAAAAATTGAGGGCTGAGCTGGGTGCTGAAGTACCCATCACTCTGTTCTCTCACCAAAAAAAGGAAGAAATAAAAGCAAACTTTCTACCTCGTGTAGTGTATCCTCCAATAACGTAGATCTTGCCCTTGCATTCACAGGCTGAGAATTCTGCAAGAGGGTTGGGCATGGATGCCACGAAATTCCACCAGTCGTTCTCCGGGTTGTAGCACTCCACGTTGGAAAGGGACTGCCCACCGATGGCATAGAGCTTCCCACTCACAGCCAGAAGCTTGAAATTGGACCTGAAAGAAACGATTGCAGCACTGAAACAGGGTGCACAGATGTACAGAAATACACAGGAAAGTGCTTCCTGCAGAAACTTCCAAGACTTGATGAATGCCTAACAATGCATACTTGTCTTAGGCTGTATTACAGAATCTCTTTATTAACCCTAGTAAAAAGCAATTTAAAGTGGAACACATTGAATCATGTTCTGCAAAAGGAAGAGTGAATCTTCTGTACCTTTTTCAGCATTAAACTACTGAATACATCCTCCATCCCACTGAAGCAAGATCTATCTGTAAATTATGTTCTAGCCATAGCTGCACAAAATACATTGCACTCCATGAGCAATTATTTATTTCTCTTTCTGTTCCATTATGCTCTCAAATCTCACACATGGCAAAGGGCAACTTCTAATTACTGAAGCACAAGAAGCCTTCTATCTTACACTCTGAATACAGACAGAAACAAATGGTCCATGGATAACAAAGGTGCAAGTCTGCAGGAGGAAATTGGAGGACTGGAAGAGAAAAGGATTGTGTGGTCAGCAATTCCTTCCAGCTATGGAAGCTGGGCTAATAAAAGATGAGCTCCTCCTCTCCTCAGAACCAGTCTCATTGCCTAGAAAGGTTGTTCCTTCTCTGCTGCTGAGCCAACTGAGACTCCATCATGACTGGACGTGTGAAAGTGCTATGTCTGTAAAACTGAAAGGATGTTTCAGACCTCGCACTGGCCTGCTGAGCAGCAAAGGGAGTTTCAACCCTGCATGAATCCAAGACTCAAAAACTTACCAATAAGTAGTTTTGTAGGGTTTTGTCTGGACAAAACAAACCCTGCCTAGCAGCAGACTACCCTGCAATTTCTTTTTATTAAACATATTTGGAAAAAGAGTTTGTCTCCAGATGGAATGATTTCGTCCTTGTCATCCTGATATAGCTTTGGAAACTAAAGTGCTCCTTTGAAGAAACTAATTGGTTTTTATTCATTTTTTTTTTCCTGACGTTTACAATAAAGCCACTCTGGTCACCTTCTCTCTATAGCAATTATGTCTTCCATTTTAGAGAATCCAGAACACCACGGTGATCAGAAGCAGGTATGAAATGAGGGTAATTACTATCTGGTGAAACACGTACAGCACAATTTTTGACTTTAAATACTCTAAAAGGAGACCACACACTTTTGTGTCAGCCATTTAACCACTTCCAACACTTCTTAAAACAGATGACATTAAGTGGAAGTATCTCAGATTTATGGAACTCATTAAAGACATGGTTCATTTTTACTCAAAAGTAGCTGCAAGTATCCATCAGCACACTTTATATGAAAGTTTGGACAATGGCTCAATATGTTATTAAAACTCTTGTCATTCACTTTTCCATGCCAATAACAGCAGGTGTTTTTATGGAGAGTGAACATTAGGAAATATTTAGTGCATTTTTACACTCTTCTAATGTGCTGGAGCAGCTGGAAAGAAGGAAAGCAAACACCCAGCAGAGCAACCAGCCAGCTCTCCACAACTAACAACTGTTCCATGGACCACAGCTTGGAAACAACAGAGCACAGTTACAAAGGCAATTCCAAAAGCATTTTATATTTTTTCAGTGATCACTTTTTTTTTTTTTTTTTCAATTTCTTATACGAGTCTGCAGAGCACACTGAATCCAATATTTAGCTTTGGGAGTGTGCGATACATTTGTGATACATAAGGTAATGAATATTTGTGACTTAAAAATGTTTGAAAAGTCTACTTTCCTTCAACACCGAAGAATTTCGAGGGGAAAAAGAAGTAAAAAAATGAGGAAAGAGAAGGTCTCATAAACAGCTAGCATTCCTCAGAAGCATCCTCTCCTCTATGCCTCTCAGAGTCCTCAGAGTGGCAGCAGTTCAGGCACAGATTGCTCACAAAAATCACGTTCCACATGCACTTGTATAATTCCAGCCAGGGGCTCACATGGGTATTCCAAGCCTGGAAGATTTACCTGCCATGAGTTGGAATGTTCTGAAGGAAAACAAAAGTGGAATACACAGCTGCAACTGGCACATGCAGTAGAACTCCTATCAAGTATATTATTTTTAAATAGCAAATTTCAACTGAAAGTGTAAATTGAAAAGAAAAAAGGCATTCGAGGACATTACTTCCAGCAGTCCAGTAGGTACTTTGTTACCTTCTTGACCCCAGAAACCACAAGTGATCTCGGGCAACACTTAAAATAAGCTTCTTCTATTAAAAGGTTCAGGTCATTTTCTGAGGACACTATTCCAAGTACAGAAATATCTCTGGAATGAAAAGATCTAGAATCTGTGATCTGTTCTGGACAATTTGTGAGGGGCACCAGATTTAGCCCTCAGATGATGAGACATTCCATGCTCAGTCACAGGCTTCCTATACGAGCCTGAGCAAATAATTTTAGCTCCCTTGTGTTAAAGAGGGAATAACAACTTTCTAAAGGTCCTGTGGGCATCAGAAGAATAATTATATACAGGAGTTTCCTATTGTGAACAAATCTGAAACTACAATAATAAGACCTCTACACCTAGAAAAAAAAAAAAGCTAACAGCAATAACCTAAAGCAGAACGGCTGCTGAGCATTCAGGATAAATCTGATGGCTTTTGTCTTCTACTTAGAAGTAATTTGGGACTATTTCATCTAAGCACGTGTAGAGAACCTCAGCACCCTGGAATTCTGCATTACAACAATGGAAGTAGTTAAAGACAGAAATATTGTCTGATTTTTTTAAAGGTTTTTTGGGGGCAGAGAATTCCTACACGAACAGCAAACCAGCACAACTATTTCCATAACACCTTTGCCTTCCCATATGCAGCCACTCACTTGGACAAATCCAGATACTCTCAGTTGCCTGAAGTCAAACCAATGGAAACCAAATGAAATTTCAATGGAAACTGGAACCCACCCTTCAAGATATGTAAAAAATTCCTCCATGGGGTGTAATTGTATCGGCTGACACGAATTCATCTGCCAGACAGTCACACGACTGCAATTCCTGAGCAGCAGGCTGGGCAACGACTGCCCTGCTTATTTTACTACAGCATAACAAACTAAAAATACAATGCCAGGCAAACTGCAGAACTAATTACAGCACATGTGTGTGTGTGTGTGTGTGGGGCAGACAGGCAGCAGCAACTTTGGATGTTTCAGGCAAAACCCCTCACATTAAAACTCTGCCTTGCTCTCTCGGCTCCTTCGGCACAGGCTGTCCCTTTCGGCCTTCTCAGGGAAGCTGAAATGTTACAGTCAGATAGAAAAATAAATAAATAAATAATTGCACTTCACTCCGTGAAGGTGGTAAAGTCAAAAACACGTTTTGTGAAGGGGGTCAGCTGAGATTCCATCATGAAAAACAGTTCCTTCAATTATTCAGCGAGCAAGATACTCACTGATACCTGACAGCCTAGGGGCAGGAATAATTCTCAGTTCTTTTTTGGCCTGAAATAACTGCCATGAAATGTAAGACTAGGATTACTCCAAAAAATAAGCCATTTTCATGCTACTTTTCTGAATTGCCAATGTGAAAATCTGTGCTAAGGCACACCTTAAGTTGGTGAAGATAATAACACTGGGGGAAAACATCCATGTGTTTATTTCAAGTATAATGATTATACATCCAAGAAATAAAAAGGGAAGGCGTGGAGGGAAAAAAAAAAAAAAAAAAAAGGCTGATCTAGAGTTTGAATACCCAAGTTGTAAGGTGAAAAAGGGGCCTTGAGAAAGTATTTTTCAAGAACCATGCTGCAGAATCATCGCCCACCTTTCCTGCTACACACATCACACAAACCAGCACCTCCTCACTCCATCAGTGACTGACTCTGGAGGAGATTATCTCAGTGAAATAGGGAAAAAAAAGGTGAAATGGGAAACACCTAATTTTAGGTCAAACCCCTGTTTTGAGAGGGTTTAGGTGGCAAAAGCTGAACAGAGCCTGTAGTTTTACTACCCAGACACAAAACATTAATGCCACTGGTTTGGGTCTCTTCTTGCTCTTTCAGTTTACTGGATGAAGAATTTCCATTCTGCAGTGAGTTCTGGCCTCCTTACTTGCTCTTTTTCTGAGAGACAAGATAAAACTATAAATATTTTTCCTAAAATGGAAACAAGAAGGAAGTTCATGCTTTATTTCAGTGAAGTAAAAGACTTTGTATTTATAACTCCAAAGAGGGATTGAGGTAGAGCAGCTACAGCCCTGGCCAGGGAGAAGGCCTCTCTTCTTGGGTCCTTCTCAAGGTTAGCTCCCTACTTCTATTTCAATACAAATAATACAAGTGTTTCTGAATACTAACTAAAACGTAAACGTCAAATAACCCTAATTTAAAAAAAATAAAGGAAAAAAGAAAAATGATGAATGATTGAATGATGAATGATTCCCAGCTCCACACATTCCCACTAAGTGAGAAATTTCTCACAATCTTCCTGACATTTTTCTGGTGAATATTTAACTGAAATGCAGGCCTACAAAGCACTCAGAGTTTTATGGAAGTACAAACCAATGAATAACTGCTCCAACTAAATTTTTTTCAGCCAGCTGTGGTAGAGAGTATATCCCCACTAAGGGCAGGAAAACTTGTCACTTACTTAACTGGAATTAACATAAACCACAAAGAAAGCAGGGCTGGAATTTTATCTTTGGGTTGTTGCGGGCTTTTTTTTTTTAAACCTCTGTTATTTCGAAGAGAATTTTTACTACCACCCGGCTGTTTGGAGACTCTGGAACCTCGTATACCGCAATCTAAGGAAGCGGGGAGCCCACCACCGTTTCACACCAAGGTGAGTGATCACTCATGGTGGAAGGGCACAGCACAGTCCTCCTCTGCTGATGCCCAGCTCGTGCTCTCCCGCAGCATCGACGCAATGAGCCCCATCTCCCTCAACCTTCCCCCGCCACGGCAGCTCCCTGAGCGGGTCCCTGAGCGGGAGAGAGGTGGATGAGTTGTGCTGCTGTGGGATGAGCGTGGCTGGGAAAGCCTGTCCAGTGGCTCAGTGGCCAAGCACCGCGGTCCTTCCCCCCGCAGGACGCGAGGGATGCAGGCGGATCACAGCACAGAGACGGGGCCAAGCTACGCCTCGTAACACCGAGCCCAGCCAGCGCCTCGTGACTTCAACAACACACATGGACACACACGTGTGCTTCGGGGAGCAAGGGTTACCTCTTCTGGTTCATCGAAGCCAGCTGAGTCCATTCGTTTAGGCAAGGGTTGTAACAGTGGGCGGCCGAAATCTCGTGGCTGGTGATCCTGTAGCCCCCGACGATGAACAGGTAATTGTCCAGCGTCGCCGACCCGTAGCCTCGGACGCTCAGCAGGTCGGGGGGCAGGTTGTTGGCCAGGGGCAGCCACCTCTGCGCCTCCTCGTCGTACCTCAGCATAGACCAGGGGGGTTCCACCTGGGGGTGACGGCCCTGGGGCAGGCCCGGGGAGGAGGCGCTCATGAAGTCCCCGATGACCACGAGGGTGGCGGTGCCCCTCATCCGCCTCTCCCTCAGCTGCTGCCGGAGAGCGGGGGGCAGCAGCAGGTGCGGCCGGGCGTCGGGCCTCCGCAGCACCTGGTGGTAGTGGGTGGCCATGAAGTCCAGGCAGGCGTCGTGCAAGTCCTGCAGGCCGTAGACCTGCGCCAGGCGGTGCAGCTCGAAGCAGTTGCCCAACCTCACCTGGGACAGGAGCAGGCGGAGCAGGGGCGTGACCTGCAGGTAGGAAGCGGCCTCCACCAGCTCCTCCAGCAAAGGGGGCTCCTCATCGCCGCCCTCCTCCTGCTCCAGCCTGGCCAGGCAGGACGTGTTGATGAAGTCCAGCACCAGCTCCAGCCCCAGGGCGCTCAGCCCCCCGCGCAGCAGCTGCTCCTCCTGCCCCTGCCCTGCCTCCCGCATTCCCGAGCGGTAGAGCGCTCGGAAATAGTCGCTCTGCTCGATCAGCTTCCTCTTGCACACCGGGTAGCGCTTGTCCCCCAGCCGGATCTGCACCACCTCCTCCCCCGCACCGGCCCCAGCCCCTGCTTCCCTTTCCCCCTCCTCTTCCTCCTCCTCCTCCTCCTCCTCCTCCCGCCGCCGCCGCCGCTCCGCCAGGGACATCGCTCACCGCGGGCCTGGCTGCGCTTCAGCCCGGACGGTGCCGGCAGCGCCCCGGCTCCTCCTCCGCCGGGCCGGGATGGGATGGGACGGGATGGGATGGGAGGAGCGGCGCCGGGATGTCGGGATGCCGGGGAAGGAGGCGCTGCCGCCGCTCCGGCCCCTGCAAGGAGAGGGAAGGGGAAGGAAAAAAAAAACCAAAACACACACACACACACAGAGAAGAAAGAAAGAAAAGCCCTAAAAAGGCAATGTTGAGCGCTCCGGCGCTGCCAGGCTACCAGCCGGGGGGGGGATGTGGGCCAGCAGGGCATCCCCGGGGCCCAGCGCTGGGGAGAGGGCACTGCCCATCCCGGGAGGGTGTCGGGGACACGGTGGGAAAGGCCAAGCACTCGGGGCAAAGGCTCAGCCATCGCCCCCGATGCTCCCTCTCTCCGGCTCTCCCGATTTGGGCCGGGATCGCAGCTCCGGCCGCAGCTCTGACCCCTTGCCATAAATGTACCGCTGCATCCCTGCGGAGGGGGGAACGTTCTCGGGGGATAAAGTTCCGTTCGTGTCCGTGGATTCGCGCACAGCCGGAGAGGAGGAGGAGGGAGCGGTACAGCCCGACACCGGGGCGTCCATTCCCTGACAAAAAGCAGCCGACGGGCTCGCCTTGCACATCTGGAGCAGCAGTGGGGTTTAGGAATGGCAAGCGTGATACATAATCCTGCTGTGGTTCCTCCTGCGTAGGTCCCTCCGTGTCTCAGCGCCTGTTTTGGCCTGTGAGGACACTGTGTAACCTGTCCTGCCAGTCTGTATTCTCTATTTAAACCAGGCTGCTGGAACAGGACATCTCAGGGGAGTGAGCTACATACCAGGGCCCGGAGCTTGCTGGACATGAAGAAGGAAAATGAACAACTGGGCATCTTGGGCAGGGATAAAGCAGCAGATTTTCTGTTCGACTTGCTGCACTATTCAAACATAATGACAGTTCTTCAAAAAAACAAGCAAACAAAAAAACCCAAAAAACCAAACCCAAAAAACAAATACAAAAAGACAAAGCAAACCAACCAACCAAACAAAAAAAAAAAACAACAAAAAAAACAAAGATAAAAACACCTGCAGAAACAGCTGAGGAACTCTGAGATCCCATGTATTCCTGTCTGATGATGCTTGACACAAAGATGTTCAAAATATATTTATCTTTATAAAGATATTTTTCACCTCATGTGTTGCAGACCATAGAAAATCTCTTCCTTTAGCTCATCTCAAGTTATTGCAGATTGCTTAGATTTCAGACAATTCCCTACTTCCACTGCTTGGAAGGATCTTTCCTCCCACTAGTAAAATTTTTCAGAGTGATATTAGGCTATTTGGGGTGGGAGTGGGGTCCTTCTTTTTCAAGGAAGGCAGGGTTGTCTGCATTTTAGCATTTCCTCTGTGAAATGATCCTCTCTCACTGTTTTGTTGATCTTCAGCTTCTTAACTCTAGCTCACACAGATGACATGAATGTCAATCTCAGAGTTGCAGGTGTTCTTTTCTGATGACTTTTATGCAAGCATTTTTTGAGGTGAGGTAGATTTCTGTGCATTTTTGTTTTCTGCTTCACTTCAAAGCATATTTGTTATCTTGCCTTTGAAGGGCCCACTTAATGTTCTGACACCCTTTCCTGTAGGATCTCAGCCAGTCCCAAAGAGCTCTCTTCAGCAGCCACAGTCCCTCACTAGGTCACCATCACCTCTCTTTCCTACTAACGAGTTTCACTCTTTGCTTAGTTTGTGTTCCTCTTTCATTCTCCCTCAATATTTAATTACTTTTCAAATTCCTGTCTTCTGTTCTTGGTGAAGCACTGCGTTGTTTTGCTTTTTGAGTTTCTTACACCTGACTGAAGCTCAGTTATGATCACTGGGCTGGTTTTTCTCTGCTTTAGGTTCAGCCTTGGAAAGATCATCACACACAAGGGCCTCAGCACTTCTGTAGGAGTCCAACCCATAATTCCTTCCTGTACTTTAATTCCCAGAGGCAGACATTTCAAGCAGTTGTAATCATTCATGCTCCAGATGTAAACAGGGTTCTCATGTTTGGCATGGCCAGTGAGCTCCCCTGCTGGAATACAGTACGATTGCCAACACAGTGGTATGATTGCCATCTTTAGACATCTGTTTTGGAGTCTCTTATGTTTCATGTATTCATAAATTAGCTCCTAATTGGTGAGTGGTTTTTTCCATGTAGTCACCTATGGTTAAGTTTGACCTCAAAGTGTTGACACTGCAGCCTGGGTAGATGGAATATTTTTTTCTGTTGCCTTGTGTGTCTTCCTGTTGCCCGTGTGCCTGCACCTGCCACTCTGCCTGAGTTTTGAGTCCTTCCTCCTCACAGTCCATGAGATTTTTTAATAGAGACCAGATCAGTTCTGTCATCTACTAATACATATTTCTTCCTGCCAGCAAACTTCTGAGGGCACAGACTCCTACAGCTTTCACCAGGAGCTCTCACGTGCCCAAGGGGGGTCAGCAGTGCTCTCTGTTGAATGACCACTTTTGAAAAAAAGCCTAAATGTGTTTCCTCAGCCAGTTGTTTTTACTAGGCTTATTGAGAGCTCTCGGTGCTTTATCCAAGCTTAGGGCAGGCCAATTGTGTTAAGCCAGAGCGTGCTGAGAGGGCAGTCCCCAGATTGCCCCTGGAATCAAAGAACAGGTCTTGCTGTCATCTTTGTTGATCTTAAGTGAGTAAGAAGTGTATTTTTCAGAGCTGGAACTCCAGTGCTAGAGCTACAGAGTCAAAATCTGCGGTTCAGAGCCATAAAAGATTTGAATGATTTTTGAAACAAACATGAAAGACCATGTGTCATTCTTCAGGAACACGCTGAGGCACGAAACAACATGAAAACAATCGTGGTAGATGTTAAATGAGTTTGTGATAAAGCATACCCTGAAGAACAAGATATTTACAAGATATTTTACAGCGAGAAAGACAAGTGGAACTCTGCTCAGCTTTTCATTATCTATCTTTTAGAGCCAAAGCTCCTGGGGCAAAATCTTCAAGCTGTTTTAGGTAGTTCAGGTTTCTTTACAGTACCTGAGAGACGAATTCATATCAAGGAAAAGGGTTCTTAAATGCCAACAAACAGACCAGGAAGACACCAGAGAGTCTCAGTCAGGGCTCTCTTGCTCTAGAGCTGAGATGGCTATTTCTGCTTGAGATTCACAGTCTGGACAATTTTTTTCCTGTGCCTGGTGCCTGAACTATTTTCTTGTAATTAATGCCTGAATTATTTCCAAGGCTGAAAAGAGATCACTCTTTTCTTTTAGAAAGACTTGGAAATGGAAGAAGCTCTTTTATACAGGAACTACGTTGTATTAGACCGTTCAACCATGACACAGAAAATCAAAGCCTTTCTCTGCCTGGGCATACATTTATTTCTGTAGCCCTCTCACTTTTCCAACATAGCAAAAGCAAGGGAGCACAGAGAGTCAGGAGGAGCTACCACTTCAGAGGCAGGAAAAGTAAAAAATTAAAAAAAAACAAAACAAAACAAAAAAACCAAACCCACAAAAAACCCCAAACTCTTAAGCATCAGTGCAGTGTCTCAGGGAAGTGGCTTTATGCTTGTTTTAGGTAAAACTCTTGATTTAATGCAGACCCACTGGATAATACTTGAGAACCAGAGAGTGACACCAACCTGAATGCCCTAAGGATAGAACCACACAGAGTGAAAAAAAAGCAATGGGAAAATTTAATTCCTTTCAGCCTTATTAGTCTGAAGTGTGAAATGGAACAGAATCAGGGGTTATTTAAAATATACATGCTATACCCAATATAAAATATAAAGTGCCCCATTCTTCCCTCTGAGGTGCCAGGGAATTGTCTTGCACTGCCAGGGAACTTTGAACTGAGTAATAGTGGAATTACTCAAGAGAGGAATTATTCTTTTGGAAAGGATTTGCCACTGCTGCCATTGTTTAGTATTTTCCTTGTCATGGGATACAAAGTAAGCATCTATGGAACATAGGAAATATCCTGCAGTATTTCAGCATTAAAAAATATCAGTGTTCTAAAGGATCTTGGTATTTCTGAGAGGAGCTTACTGGAGCATAGTTTTACTTCAACTGAAGTTTCTATCATTTTTGATGGATGACTTGCTAAATAAAGATAATCTTTTTTTTCAGATTCACAGCCAAACAAAGCACTTCTTACCCAACGCCATTAGCAATGCTCTTCCAAAAAAATAAAAATAATTTTAAAAAGCACTCCTATTTCTAATAGTGCTTTATTTCCTAATATTTTCTGTTCAGTTTTTTTCTGCTTTTAATGTAATATTTATCTTGTTCCTTGCCACAAAGGCGTGCTGCAACGCTACGGAAAAAACACTTGGAGCGTTATTCTTTTTTTTGAGCACAGATTATTTATTATGAAGTTCTCATCCCTGCTTTAGCCAGAAGTGAGTGATTAGCATTAATGCTGCGGTGTGTGCTGCTGAGCTCTCTCTGGGCAGCAGTTCCAATAACCTGTGTGTTTGTGGGCACTCCGTGTGGATCACGAGGAGCTTCGGGCACCTGACAGCAGAATGGAGGTGTAAGCGTGGAAATTGTTACCATGGCCTTCAATCTGTTCCATTTTGTATTCCTCCAGGCTGCTGGAGTGCTCTGCCTGCTGCTGAACCCCCTGCCAGGGATGTTTGCTCTGCACAAGTGCACTGTGCAGCCACGGCCAGGAATTCCTCGTGTAGCTGTGCCTAGAGGAGACTAAACTGGGGGCTTTTGAAACAGCAGATATTCCTTAATCCTGGTGCAGACAGGCAGAGCTGAATTTCAGTACATAATAACTAGGTAAGACGAATGGTAATCCACGTGGAAGACTCACTAAGCATCCAGCTGTATAAAATGCATCACAATCCTGAAACTCCATCCCCTTTGCCTGGTTTCGAGTTCTGCCATAAATCAGCATTCGTTCATCACTGTTTGCTAAACACCGTGCCTTTTGTCATAAACCTTGGCTCAAGCCTGTGTGTGTGCCAGCAGATTTATGTTTGTATAAATCTAACCTGGCCAAGGCTTCTGTTGCTCTTTGTTTGAACGCACAGATTCCAACCTTCGTGGAGAGGTTTTGCCAGAATTAGTCTGAAGACGAGCTCCAAGACAATCTCAGGGCCTGGCAGCCCCTTGGAAATGAGGGTTTGAAAAATGGTTTTGCACAAAGTCCCAGGAACAGAAACTGTAATATTTTACCTCTATTTACCATGTTGCTGGGATGGGACTGAAACCAGAATCCTGGAGCCAACTGTCCCAAACCTTGGAGAAGGTCAGATTCATTAAAAATGTGATATATTGCTCCAAGCCAGAACCTGACCACTAATAGCTGTTTTTGACAAAACGGTTCTCTTTAAAAAATGCTGTTTTGTTGGACTTTTGACATTTTGCAAGAATGTTTAGATTTCAAGGAAAATTTTAAAGGAGAAAGAAAGCAAGCACATTATTTGAATAATGTCAAAAATCTTTGCTTGGATTTTTTTTTTCCCCCCAAGTATTTAGATTTCATTATTTCATGATCCCTCACAGAAGTATTTTGTAACTTTTATACCGTAATAGGGTTACAGTGACATTTCCTGGCATTATCAAAATGCTTAGCTTACATAAAATTTTGACCTTACAATTGCTGGCAATTGTTTGGCAAAAAAAGAGTTAATGCCTGATGATGGACTCTTTGTGCTTGGCAGCTCTTGGATTGTGCCATTCTCACTGCCAGCCCAGGTGGGAAACTTCAGGTACTTTTTCTAAGAAGAATCATTAAAAAAGACAATTTTTTTCCCTGTGTGGCAGGTTCATCCATATCTCTTTTACTGAAAGGTCTGCAGAACCATCCCTGTTCTCACAGAAAACGGCAACTGCCTTTTTGTTTCTCAGGAAGAAATTCGAGCAGATAGATGAAAAGAATTACTAAATAACACAAAGTGCTGGTCTGATACCAGCCAGGGACTCTTTGCAGCAAGAGTCCCTTGATCCTTCTTTGCAGAGCACATGGAACAGTCGGTCACTGGTTTGCAGGTAAGACTCGGATATTTCCTTCCTGTAAAATGTTTGTGAGTTAAAATTTATGTATTTGTATATATATATGTATTTTCCACAGAAAAATCAAAGTAAAATTATGGGGAAGCAAGGCAGAAGATTCTAAAACTTAATAGACTGAACTTTTTAGTTTCTGAAGGAAATTGCCTAAAGAAGCCATATATTTGCTTATTTATTTCAATCTCTTAGTATTTCATTAAACAGAAAGTTTCCCTGCAGATATTCTTGCTCTTAAAATTTATTCAGAAACAGAGAAAGAAAAGAGAATAACAAGTAATGGAAAGGAAAAAAAGGCTGCTTAGTTCAAGTACAGAGCAGAACATATGAAGGCATTAAGAGCAGCAATGTGTCTATTGGCAAACTGTGGCAAAAAGAAAGAAAAATATTTTTAAATAGACATTGAAAACACACAGATCTGCACACAATAGGATTGGTTCAAAACACAGGAAAACTTACTGGATGGTGTGGCAGATGCTTATGAGCTCAGGCACGTTCACATCCAGGCATAGTCAGCTTTGTCCAATATAAATACTTCCTCTGTATCAGTTCAATCTCCCTGTTAAGTGCTTCCCCAGGTTTTGAAATCCAAGTCTCCTGGATTTCTGTTCTGGGAGACATGGGACGTGTAGGAGTGAGGAAAGCAACCAGGAATTTTGCATGCGAGTCTTATAGAACAAAATAGATCTGAAATTCCTACTAAACGTGTTGCCAAAATACAGGCATATCTTTCAGAATTCTGAGTTTGTCCCATACCAGGTGATGCCTTGGATTGCTAGGAAAGCTGAAACAAACATTTTAGCAAAATACATTGTCAATAGTAGCAATGGTAGAGAAAGTCTAAAAACTTCCCTGTGCAGTCCACTGAATGCAAGCTAACAGGTCTTTTAAAGTGTATTTAAGGTTTAATTTGTGATTTTCACAGAGGTGAAAATGAAAACAAAGCACATCAAACTACCAGAACTAAATAAAACAACACAAGTACCGAGAGCTGTTTTCCAGGACAGAGCCTTAAAGAATTACCCACTTAACCCTTACTTACAATTTCATTCTTGTATTCCCCACAACAGAAATCCTCCTAATTATAGGAATATGAATATTAATATAATGAATAAGGTATGGATATTAGGTGATTGATTAATTTCTATTATTAGTATTCTTAATGCATGAATTAATACTAAATTATATGAATATTAAATGAATAAAATAATGATCAACATGAATAAACCTGCTCTGAACTTTATTACCTTCCAAGGAGTTCTGAAAGGAACTTAATTGTTTGCATTTCGGTTCATTTCCAAACTGGGGGCCTTGTTCTGCAAAACATCAGCTATAATCACTACAGAATTAAAACGAGTTTGAGGTTTCCCCCACTTTATGCAACTAATCAATACTTTATGTAGAACTAAGGAAATTCCTTGATTCTAATCCCGAAGGATAAAAAGGCAGTGTAAACCATTTTATATATTCAAAGCACAGTTTTTATTGCAGACAGCCCTATTTCTACCTAATTCTCTCAACCTCACTGTATAGCCCAGTGAGTTTAAATCAATTCATATATTGTAATAACTTAAGGCCTTCCTGTATGAAAGGCACACAGAAGTGGGAATCAGGGATCAGACTGGTTCCTGTTAAGAAACAAAACGCGTGGGAGTTTCAGGTTTCAGACCAGGTGCTTGAAAAATCGCCCCCCCTTTTTATGTCAACTCCGTTTTCTCTTTGACAGGCCTTCTCCAAGCTTAAACATAAGCAGAAAACTCCTTATGGAATGCTGAATATTCTTAAAATTACTAGGGGCAGGATGAGAGACACACACTCTTGTCCAAAGAAACAAGTTTTCTGAATGAGCAAAGACAACCTGTGCCTTTTGTCTCTCAAAAACTGTCTCCAAATAATTAGGTTAGAGGGTAACAATAGTAACTATTGTTATTATTATAATCGTGTGTAGCTCATAAAATGGTTGCTTTCTTCCAGCAGCTGTCCAAGCAGCACCATGGGAATTGTTTGGGAAAAACCCATCCCCTGGCTCACGTCCCTGGCAGAATTGGCAGCATCCCCACCACTCCAGAGGTTGTCTCCTCCAGTGCTGGTCCAGCCTGTGGTGCACCCATGGAGCAGAGTGCAGAGTGACTGAGCCCACCACACCCAGGCAATGGCTCTGCTGGTGGCAGCAGTGCTGTTGGTGCTGGGTTTGGCCCTGGGGTCCGACTCGCTCTGCTCCCCCACCGCCTTCTACAAGGACTGCTGGATCCGGCGCTTCCCAGGCCTCCTGGTGGACCTGCAGGAGTCACAGAGGAGGGGAGCCCAGGTGCTGAAGGTTTATGCAGAAGTCTCACCCCAGCAGTGCAGCAGAACCTGCTGCCTTCTGAGGAATGGTGAGTGTTTATTGCCGAGATCACGGCGCGCAGTAAAATTGACGTCACAGCACACAAGGAACACGCTTTGGGTAGTGCTTCTATAAACTTTCCTTTATTTGAGGAAGAAATGGGCGAGAGGATCTGTGTATTTTTTTGAGGCACCTTGTAACTGTTCTCCCATTTTCAGTCCCATAGAAAGGAAATTGATAATCTGAGTTTTTTTTAGAAGAGTGCTCTAGAAACACGTGAAAATCTTAGGGTCTGCTCTGAAATCTCAGGTCTCTGTTACACAGCTTGTAGACAATGCCAGCATTAAAAGAATGACTCTTCAGTATTCACCATCTACTCCTGTAGAGAACAACCAGTGACAGTGATTCCAACAGCCCTCTTCTTCATGGAGTATGGCATCAGAAAGGGGAGGGAACACACAGTTTTCATTTGAAATACAAGAATATTCATTTCCTTGGAGAAAGCATTCTCTTATTCCATGTTCACACCATGTTTGCGGTGCAAACCAAGTAAAATATTAACATGAACAATAAAAATATTAATATGAACAATAAAGTTATAGCAATAAATGATAGCAGTTATTCAGCTGGCAACCCCTTTTCCCTAGCCTTGTAAACTCAGAATAAAAACAAGAAAAATCAGTGTTTACTTTAAACCCAGTACTATATTTTGTATCACACTGCACTGGTACACTATAGGAGTATATTTTAGGAGAATACATGAAGTGCATGTTTGTGGTGCCTAAATTTTCCAAAATCACAAGACTTGGAGGGGGTTTTGGATATGGAGGATGAAAGCGAGGAACCAGTTACTAAAAAAAAAGTCAACATAAATTTTGATGAAATTTTGAATTATGAGCAAAAACAGGACCTTGACAATCTGACAGTGACCAAACTGCCATCAGCATTCCTGGGAAGAGTCAAAATCTGTCTTAAATAATGTGAGGAAATAAAAATTTAATATATTTCAGCAATGTTCCTCCTTTTTGGACAAAAGTCTTTTCCTCATAGAACAAGGGACTGGATACCTTACAAAGATAATTAACAGTAACTTGGAATCTCCTTTTTATATTCTTACATAGTCAAGTAAAAATTTGTTACGATCTTAAGTAAAATAGAGACATTAGAGGGCATTTCAAAGATGCACTTTAAATCAGTTATTATTTAATCAGAGACACATTTAGAACTCAGATGGCTATTGTGGTCCAGATGTAAAAAGAGAATATAATTATAAGTAGTTGTACTTTTTTGACTGTATGCTCGATTAGTTTGCATGATAACGAGAGACCCACAGCATCTGGTTCTCTCTTCTCATAGGATCTGGGCAGAGCTGCCCACTGTTAATGATCTCCTGATGTTCAATAACAGAATAACATACAAAATGCAATAGTCATTCTGCTGAGTAGCTCAGCTTTGCTCTTTCTGGATTGCAGCTTCCTGCAATCTAGCAGTGTTCTACCATGGAGCCATCCACGGGCACATGAATTGCCTGCACGTGTCCTGCCCAGCACTGGAAAGCTGCATCCTGAAGGCTGGAATGAATGTCATTTTGTACAACATCACAACAGGTAATTAAGCACTTCGTTTATAAAGGCTGAAAACACGGCAAACTATAGAAAATGTTAAAATTATACCAGGTCGGCTGCCGTGCTAGAAGATGTTCTGAAGTAACATGCTTCTGAAGCAAAAATGCTTAAGGGCTTTTGTTTTTTCATGCTCTGTGTAACTTATCAATACTGTTTGCCCAATATTTGGGCAAAGTACCCTACCAGGTATTTTGGATCTGTCCCCAGATCCAAACAGTAGCAAGGTTGAAAATTTATTCTCATTAGGCATCTGCACAAAGAGCACACAGGTTGCACAGCCTTCAAACACGTGAAGCAGACACACAACCACAGGTGGTACCAAAAGCCTCATTCTGCTTTATCTAGCTCCCAGGATGGAGATCTACTAGTGAAAATATATATATATACACACATATATAAAATGAAAACAATGTCACCTGATGTTTCAGCCCCAGCTTCTCTCCAGTTGCTGGTGCAGACTGTCATACACACACACAGAGCTTTCTGGGATGTCCCTACCCCCAGTAACCTAGATCCCACCCTTTCCTCACCTTTGGTTCCTTCCCCAAGCATCCCATAGTAAGTCCTGTGCAATCCCAAACTGCATCTCATGAGGTGTCCCACAGCCTCCAGTCCAAACGGTGCTGATGGGTACTATTTGGGCTCCAGGTACTCCTTTTGTGGGTGTGCAGACAAAGCTCTTATCACACGACACTGACACTGCTGTGATTTCCCAGGGATTGATCCAGACCTCCTCGTTTTTGGAAAACCGACCTCCAAAGAGCCAAACATTCACTCCCCACAGGGTGAGCACGAGAGGCAGAACAGCGCAGAGACCACCGAGGGGGAAAGGTGCCGACACCGCAATGCCACGTCAGGGTCCCCTCTGCTCCAAGCTCCAGCCCCTACCACGAGCCGTGGCTCAGCAGCAAGCACTTACACCTCCAGCACAAGCCCCACGCTCCGAAAAAACCAAGTTACTGCTCATCCCAGGGCAGAAACTTTTCCAGCAGGCGACCAGAGGACGAGCACAACTTCAGCGAGCCCCAGGCAAACCCCAGGCTCAGACAAGAAGGCTGAGGGCTCAGCTCCAACAGCCAGGGCTGCCGATGGAGCATCCCACATGCCCACCCCTCCCCGCCTGAACAGCAGCAAGCAACACCTGAACGAAACCAAGGGCTACAGCGGCAGGAATTCTACCCTGGAAAACGAGGCACCCGCCTGGGAAGCGTCGGCTTTGGGGGTCTGGTTGATCCCTGCTGTTCTCTGCTCTTCTCTCCTCTGCCTCTGCTGCTGCACCGCTGCTCTCACCACGGGCCGCTGCAGCAACAGGAGAGGTCACTACAGGCCCCTAAGGAGGAGAACAAAAACGTCGAGACAATCCGTAAAATACGCTGCTGTCAGAAGCGGTTTGTAAAACACCGTCACCATCCTTGCTGTGGGACAAAGAGGCTTTTCTTTAAAATACGGCAATTCATCTCTTTTACAGAAGCAGTGATATTTTTTCATTGTATTTCAGTTATAATTAAATTCTTGTGAGATGAAATACAATTCCCCCTGTCTCTTGAGCTAAGAAGTACACACTCACAGCTCCCACTGTGTGCTCAGAGGTGTTCAAGCGCGTTTTGGTTCCTAATCTGATGCCAACTGATGTCTAACAAACAGTGTAACACTCTCCCTAACTTAAGAGAGCAGGTTCACTGCAGCTGTACCCATTAGCATGTCCATGTGTCAGGATATTATTTAAGAATTAAGATTAATGCAATGTTCAAAGACTAAACTGATGAGGTTGTAAGGCCACATGAACACCTAGTTACAGCTGAGCAGGTTTCAGAAGAAAAGACCTCTCTAAAATTGTATTTTAGTCCACATTGATCACCACTGGAGCTTAGAAAACTGGAGTTCAAAAAACCCGCTTTTTTATAGCATTTTATTGACATCATATGCTAATTTGTATGTAATAGAAGAGAGACCGACACAGGACAAGAACATTTTAGAAGGGTAGTGTTATTTAATCAGCTGAAATAACACAGAATTCTTCTGTTTCAGCTAGAAAACTTGGAATGGGGTATGACTTGTTTTTAAGGGCAGTCCTATGCTTATGTGTAGACCAGGAGCTGCAGACTGTGTGGCTCAGGATTTTCTCTGGACAGTGCTCTACCTCAAATTGCCTCTCAAATTCTGAAGGGAAAGGTCACAGCTCAGTAAACCACCCTTCTGTTGATGACATAAGCAGGCTTCACTCCATTTATAAAGTCTTCACCAAGAAATTAGAGCTTTGCAAAGTTCATGTTTTGACCTCTGCCACATTCACAGGTCACAGATCTGATCAAATACATTAAATAAACTGATTAATCACATGTTCCATGTCAAGTTGTGTTTTCCATGAATTAGCTGTGATAGAATCAAAATAAAAAATCAGTTTCCTTTGCTGGGCTGTTCTTTCTACCAGACAGTAGAATTAGTAACATCAAATTGTTATTTTAACTATGACTTCCAGAGATCTACTTAGGTCCGTTCTGAGTCTACAAAGAGCAGAGGAAAATTGATTTTGTCCTCTGCTGCAGAGAGGATTTTATCAGGTGCTCCTATGTCCTGAGCAGTAAAGGACAATTTTATGGACACAATCAAGCTTATGAGGTTTGTTTTCTATTTTTTAAACACTTGAGGGCATTGCTCTTGACAATCTTGTACAAGACATGCCACTGCAAAACAGAAGTTGCTCCACACACTTGCTCATGTGCCAGTCCTTCTGCAAGCACTGGCAAAGCTAATTAAGGAAGCAAATTTCCCCTTGTGTACATACTAGAACAAAACTGCCTTTGGAATAGAGCCAGGCACAACTCCAGGCACCACCCAGACCACTCTCTGAGTCAAAGTGCAGTTACTTCCTCAGTAATTTTAGTTTCAGGGCTGTTCAAAGAAGATTTGGAATCACACAGATGTACTATTTCAAAGAAGAATTTAAAACATTGCCCTCATTATCCCTAAACAAAGGAACAACCTGGTAACAGCTGAAACTTCCCCAATATTTCCCCCTTCTGCTAAAGCTTCACATTAATAGAAATCTAAAAGGAAGGACCACTAAATAACTAACTAAGTGCAAAACTGAGGTTACAGGACAAACATTTTCAGGCAGTAAAAAGCTGCATTAAACTCAGTCTCCCACCATATGAAAACAATCTTGACCTAAGAATCCTTCCCAAACGGAGTGTTTTGGAAGTGGGAGTGCATGCAGTCTGTGGCTGTTATGTAAACACAAAACAGACAATGAGCAATCCTGGCAGGGAGCGAGTCAAGCCACAGGGAACACTGCAGGAATCAACTCCCTTCACTTTTCTGTGTCCTTATTCTTACACTGTTTTCTCTCCACGAGGAGCTGCTGGCAGGGCCACGTGTTTGGTTCTTTCCTAGGCATGCAGGATCCTTAACTCCCTCTGCCCCCAGAAAGAATGACTTTCTAAGCTGAAATCTTAGTGAGCCAGGAAGGTACAATAAAAGCAAGAGTTACTTTATGTCCTAAAAGCTGCTATTTTTAAGTGGGGTTTTGGTTTGGGGTTTTTTTTTTACTGTGAGAAGGCAATAAAAGTTGCCCGTGATTCCAGTGTTTCAAATCAACGCCTTTCAAATACAAATTACCAAATATAAGCTGAACATCCACGTAATCTCTCTCTGTGCTGCATACCAGTAAGCTGGATGCTAAAACCAATTTTTTTACCTTGAAAAGCCTGGGTAGATTCAAGAGAGAACTCAGCAGGCCTCAGGGCACCAAGACTGGGTTCATTCCTATTCAGCTTCCTACTCACCTCACTGCTCACCAGCTCTCACTTTCAGCAACTCTCATCATTTCTTCTTTCCCATTTCTTTGGATCTTCTCAACAACTGCTAGTTCACCTTCCCACCACCATCCCATTTTCTACCTCATTTAATTCCATCATTTTAGACACAGGTATTTTTATTTGTTAGCCCTCGTGGTGACAGCTGAGTACCTCACACTCTCCTAGGTGCTTCAACACCTCTCCAGAAGTTCTAACTACCTGGACACATTATCTTTATTTTACAGATAGGGAGTAACAGGTAGAGAGAAATCTGAGTGGCATTTGAAAAGCATTTAGATAAGTTTAGAGTTCTTAACTTTCAGACTTTTAATTAATGGAACTGGAAGCTTAAGTAATTTAATTAGTTTTGACTTTGTTGCTCTAAGTTATATGCCTAAAAAAGCTGTGTGAGAAATCAAAGTGTGATTAAGCAGAGAACTGAACCAGAATCTCCCATGCTAAGAAAACACAGAATAAAATGTCCAAAGCTACCAATATGAATCCAAACATACTTTATTCAGAGAACAAGATTCATGGACAGGACAACCATGTTTACAGAAAATTAAGCAGTAAAGAGAAAACTGATTACTACTGTGATTATCATCATCAAGTTTTCACATTTTTGCTTAAGGTTCTGAATAATTATATATCCATATAATTAAGGAATATTAATAGTAGCTTAATGTTTCTGTAATGATCAGCTGTGCCTGCAGAGCCTGCTCTCATGCTTGTATATTCAACAGCTTCTTCACGGATTCCTTATACTGAGACATGTTACTTTCTGTTTCACCCTCATTTTTCAGTGCGACTACAGAGTTTTTGTAATTCTTAACCACGTCAGATGCGAGCAGTTCCTCCTTGGAGACATTACTGACACTCTCTGAGGCTTTTATTTGAAGCAGAGTATCCAGGGCATTCTTCTGAGAGCGACTGTTTTCCCAGACGTACTCCTCCATGTCTTCCTCAGTCTTCTCACTCTCCCACTTCTCAGTTTTCTGAAAGAAAACACACAGTGTTTAAAAACTACTCAAGACTGACACAAAGCTACAGTAATTCCAGGAAATTTCTCTCCCTCTCTCGTATCAGTTCACTTCACAACTGACATTCACTGGGGAAGGTATTTCCTCCTCCAAGGTGCAAGGCTTGTAACTGGAGCCTGTACGAGCAGGATGAGTTTCTTTCCTCCCACTTAGCAAGTTGTTTATGGATCTGGCAGGTACAACTGGGCGAGTCAGAGTGGGAAGAAAAGCTTGTGGACTACCCACAATGAATAACAAATAACCTTGTAAAAACAACGATTTTAAATGACTCTAAATGCTCAAGATTTGGAGGCAGTTATTATTAGTTATTATTAGTTATTATGATTTTGGAATGTCTACACTGGCTGTAAGACACGAAGAGAGGCAGTCCATACCAAGTAACCCATGATGAAAGACAGCAATCCTTCACCCTTTGGGAAATGTTTTAATTGGGACCCTTACAGGAAAAGCACCACCAAATAATCCATTTGTTCTTCCTGCAAAACAAACTGCGCTTCAAAAGAATCTCCATCCACAAGCTGCTAATTTTTCCCTAATTAGCACTGCAGGATTAGACAGGATAACAAGTTGAACACTGACAGAAGGCACCATCCCAGTGCCTGTAAATACTCGGCTTGTACAGTTGTTCTTTATAAATGTTGTCTTTCAACATTTCTCCAGCAGTCTCCTTCACAGATTGCTGAAGGAATATTTCAGATGTTATAACCAGCTATTTCTGTATTTTTAATTTTTATTGTACTTTGGTAAAGATATATGCCTCAGTGGTAGATCTATATTTTTATATAAGCTTATTTATTTTTATAACTATTTAGTACTTTACTGATGTAAACAACACATAGTATCCTTATATCATTCCAAGGATCACAGTTTGAAGTATTTTGAGTTTATTTTTAGTGTTTTTCTTAGAATTATTATAAAATCATCTCTAAATAAAACTTGCATTTTTCTGGAATTAAGTTCAAAAAAACCTTATAGTAAAGCATTAACATCATATGTATTTTTGTCTTTTTTAAATCCCTTGCAGAAAAGTCTCCTCAGTAAATTTTTAACTATGCTATGCAGAATCAAAAAAAAACCTTGCAACTGCAGAGAGTTTTTTTTCTTTGTTGTTTGCGATTGGTTTTGAGTTCTGGGGTTTTTTGGGGGGGATGGGGTTTTAGTATGGATTTTGCATTTATTTTAAAGCATTCTGTCCACTAATTGTCAAGGCTGCTGCAGTCAAACCACAGTATTTAACAACCTTTCTTTAAGACCCAAGACTTTTTTTTTCCCACTACAACCCCGAGTGCTTGGATCTGTCTATCTGAACTGAAAATACTTTTACCAAATGCTGCACCTTGCACCTGGTAAATGGAATCTCTTGTCTGTTAAATCCCTGAGTCCAAATGTTTAGTCAGAAGCAGTGAATAGCACCGTTAAAACGTTCATTTGAAATGACATACTTTTTAATTAACAACATCATCTTTACCTATCCCTTGTTTACCTGCATAATGACTGAGACATTTTTTCCCCCCAAACTCGGGCAGAATTTTAAAGCAAAAGCCTTTCTCACAGGGATA